TATGCAGGGTCTATACCAAGATGAAATAACTGTTTTGTTCATTGGATGGTTTGTCCACAGAATGTATTGACCATCCATCATAAAAATTACAGTAACATGAAAACATTTAAAAATTTGGTTGAAGTAACTACAGATCTCCATAAAGTCCAAACAAATTCATAATGGGAAAAGTAATTCTTTTGAATTATAGTAACTTCAGGCATGTTATAGATCAAAATTATTGTCTTAAAGTGAGCTTGGAAAGCAAATGGCAAGCCCTATAGGTATTTCAAATATCTCTAGGTATTTGCCCTTTTTGGAGACGTACAGGATATGAGTGTGGTTCTTCTCACATTTGGAAGAGGAACATTTTTGTAGTCCACAGGGCTGGATTTGTGTGTGAGTGTTGTGACTCTAATCTCACTCAAGACTCATTCTAGAGTATAGAAACTACCATTTAAGCATTTCTTTAAGTAATTTGATTCTTTTAAGTGAGGCTTTCTTGAGATGTGCAGACAAACTTCTATAATTCCCCTACCAAACATGCTATTGAATCCATTTGGTAAGTGTTATGGGACTTGAAATTTAAGAAAACTAGAGGGCATCTCTTTGGGAAAGTATTTTAGGCCAATACATTACTACTGTATGTATACCAGTTTCAGATATAGGTATCATGCAAATACAGATCATTGTATTCAAAAGTTTAGGGATCCCTGATCAAAGTTTCAAGATATTGATCTAGAATCCCCAGACTTTGAAATGTTTGGAAAATTGATGGGAAGATCTCCAAATACAATGCATACAAGGAAACTTAAGAATATTGCTGAACTATAAGAGTACTGCAAGGGAGAATAGGAAAAATCCAAAGAGAAACAAATGCACATAAACACTATATACTTAAATTTGCAAAAATATGTCATGTCTAATTTTGTACTGGGTCGGTAGAAACTATATCAACTTTTGTTATTAGATATTCACTGAAACATAGAGTTTGCTCAGAGGTATTTAACCTTTTGCATACAAATCTATCTGGGAAATCTGATTAAACCATTTTAAACACATTTAAAGATTCACTCACTTATAACACTTATATGTTTGTTATAAAAACACTAGTATTATTCTAAAGCTGTGGTCATCTACAAATCTGCTTTCCTAATTGCTGGTCATGTTCTATAAGTTGTACAGGGTATGTTCATACTGGAATATGAATAACATGTAACATATATAAATATAATATATATAAATATATAATGTTTCAGAACACAGAGTAAGAATGTACAGTATTCTATTCCATGTGTTTGCTTGACATTTCAGAATAATTTTTACAACATTATAGTCTTATATTGTCTCTTCATTGTATTTCCTTACAACAGTTTTTCGTATTTGTTATTTCATATTAAATTACTAATTAAAATAGTAAAATACCACTATTATTTGAAATAACTGAGATGCCTCTTTTAATTTATTAATATAGAACAGGACATGTATGGTTTGTTCAGAATTCTAGCTACTACTTTAAATTTTAAAATGTTATTAAGCACTAGCAAAGTGGAAAAATGAATAATGTATTATCTATCGAATAGTGTATTAATGTGCAAATAGCTATTAATAACATTCTTATCTTATTGTGAAGCTGTGAAAACTATAGGCATAATCTGTTGATGACGTCAGATTAATAAAGGCAATTTCTAAGAAGAATTTCTTATACAGTATCACAGGGGTGTCAAACTGCTGGCCCGCGGGCCGGATGTGTCATCCAGAAGCCACACCCACCCTATTTCCAGCAGGGGCAAAACTGTCCCGATACGCTGTGCAACGTCACATGACGTCGCGAGTTTGATATGTTTGCAGTATCAGATGGGTAATTAGGAAAAGAATCCCATCCAACTAGAGCAATATCATGTATACAGCACAGTTTCTCTATGGGACCTCGCTCGGACCCTCAGCTTCATGTTTCACCACTGGAAAGAGTTCAATCCAAATTTATCAGAACAATTCTCCAGATGCCGCGCTGTGTCCCAAATACACTTTTGCGCCTGGAGACAGGATTGATAAAAGTCGAAGCAAGAATCTGTATAGCTTCCTTAAACATCTGGCTAAGGCTTAATTGCTTTCCGCAAGGTCTTGCTCCATTAATTCTTCAAGATAAATTCTTCTCTTCCTGGATCAAGGCAGTCGAGTCCAACCTTGCCAAACTAGGCTTCTCGTCAGCCTCAATTCTCAAATTGGACTACAACCAAGCAAAACAAACCTTGCGTCAAGGGGTAGAAGACATCGAGAGGCAAGCGAATTTAGGTATAGCTTCACTGTTTCTGGCTCCAGACTCTATTAGATACATGGTTACACCTGCCAGTTATCTTAGTCAGTTGGAGTCATGCACGGTGCCATGCGTTTCCATCGGCCGTCCTGTACAGCAAATATAAAAAGACACCATTGTCTAAAAGACTCTGCTCCTGTGGCTCAGGAGAGGTGGAGACCATTGGACACATACTCCTTCAATGTTCCTTCTATAGAGCTATTCAGAAAAACCATATCCTCCCCATAATTGATAGGTATCCTGGTCATTCAGAAAGTATTTATCTCCAATGGCTGCTTAAGGATGAGCAGGCAGTGATCACGGCACAAGTGGCTAGATTCTGTGCAGCAGAATTGGGGATTCACCAGAAACATAAATAAAAATTTTAGATCTTTGTAATAATCTTTTATAATTAATTTTATTACGTGTTTTATCCAGCTTTAGACTTTACTCAATGTATTTTTATTGTCAAGTCAGTATGACTCAGTTTTTCTGAAGCTAGCTGTTTTTTGTTATACTGTCTGTAAAACTAGGCAGACCTTGGTCACCCATTGATTATATCATTAATTGTAATATATTGCTATGTCCTCTTGTGTTGGTTCTGTTTAGTTTTGTTTTATTTGAATGTTTAATTTATGTGTTGGCCTTTGGCTGTAATAATAAATTGATTGAGGTCATGGATTTTTTTTTTTTATGAAGCAAATATTTTCTGAAAATACATCAAATATTTCCTGATACTGCCCTTTCTGAGAACCATTGAAATAATGGATTGATATAATCAATGTCACATTTATGCTAATGTGTATAAAGATTGAAAGTATTTTCCCCCAATAAGTATTTTAATTTATAATGAAATACTTACTAAAATATTAGAGTAACATTATGTGCTAAGGCAGGATATTTTTAACTTAATTATTTACAAAGCTGAAGTCATGGTAGGCAGTATTTATTTTAAAAACATAGCAGTGAGAAGATTAGGAAGAGAATGCATAGTCATGTTTTAAACCCCATATGATTTTTTTTTAAATGTGAAATTGCATAAGGGTGTGATGCAAAGAGCAGCAAAGAGGAGATTTTTTTTAAAAAAAAATGTTTGTAATATGAAACTGAAAAAATCAGCAAGGAAGCAGAATCATAAAACCTTCACTGAATAATAAACACTTTCTAAGTTTTTAATGTTGCCTTATCCACACTATTTCTGTTCTAGTTGAAGGTATGCTATAAAATTATAAAATTCACTGGTTAGAATTAGACATAAAATAACATAGCTCTCTCTCTCTCTCTCTCTCTCCCTCCCTCCCTCCCTCCCTCCCTCTCCTGTTATTTGAGACAGAATTTGGGTCCTATTACTTGCACTTAAAAACACATTTTGAGACAAACTTTTCATCAAACTATAAACTCAACAATCACTCAAACCTTCATAGTTAAAGTTGCCTGTGCTAGAATAATTTAATTGCCCTATGATTTGACCACATACTAACCTTATAAAGAAGTTAATGATTTTAGAACTAGCTAGGGAAGAAAATGGAATAATAGTGTTTTTCATTAATGCACTTGAAGCACAGATTCTAGTTTGTCTGCAGCAAACTAACAGATTTTTCCTTTTAGCATCTTCCTGCCAGTTCTTTAAGTTGCTGATGTATGCTTCTAATCCATCAGTGAACCTGGCAGAGTGAGATTAAATATTATTAAAAATGTTAAAGGATGACGAAATCAATTAAATGGTATTAATAAATTTCCATAAATTTGTTTCTTGCTGAAAGTCATAAACAGTTTTTAACATTGGAAAAGAGTAAAAACATCCATAAAAGCTGGAAAAAATTGTATGCTGGGTTGCCAGTTGCTTCTAAAAACAGAGCCAGAATGAGGGTTATTTCTATGAAATGAAATTGAATTTGTCACTTAATTAATACTTCTGAGAAACTTTTCATTCAATCTCTGATTTCTGGTGTGTTTTCTTCACAAATACACCGTATTTATTCTTTACATTTTTAACTGTACACATAAAATATTTCAGGAGCACACCTTAAAAATGTCTTTGAGTATACTTGGCTTATTTGGTACACCCAAAATAGTTGTTATTCTGCTCTTCTGCTCTTCTATTCAGTGGTTTCTAATGCAAGCTATGAAGCTGATGGTCAAACTCTGTAGGCTCTACTAGATAAGCCTCACTATGATATACTTGTATTGTTCCTAGTTTCTAGATGCTTCAGTGAACTGGTAGCACAGGCATTTTGGTCCTCCTACCAGCAAGTGTAGTGTGTTTTAAGCAGAAAAGAGGATCTTGAAAGAGGCTACAGCCAGAATAAGCAACCATGTGTTTTCTTTCATTGCAAGAAATTTATAGGAGGCTGCATGTCAGTGATGAATGAGCTTGTTCAAACAGTGGACAAGACTAGAAGCAAAATGAGTTGAGTCACCTATTTGCTGTTTTTCTCATAACCAGTTTTTTTTTCTTTCTATGCTAATTTTCTCCTTTCTTCTTCTCCTTTGCCTTTCCTTACAGAACAGTTGTGATATATTTTTCTTACGTGGATTATTTTGCAGAAGGCTTTTGAAATGTTCAGGATATGTGCATTCCTACAGCCATAGACGGCCCACTTCTATCTAAATTGATACCCCTTCCAAATATTTGAGATTGCTTGTGCTAAGCATTTCAGTTGCTTATCTTTAAAATGTGTTGCTGCCCCTTAATCATGCATGTTACACCTCCATTTTTATGCAGATTGCAGTCCTACTCCTGAAGAATCCAATCCAGGTATGTATATTTTCCCCCCTCCATTCATCGTGTTTGTACTTGAAAAACTCCTGTGGGGTGTGGGGAACGATTCTTTTAATTTAATACTAACATTTTTTGCTGATTGTAAATTTTCTACTACATTGACAAAAGTCTTTGGGGATTTTAAACATTGCTTTGAGAACAAGAAAGAATATGGCTTATTTATAGCCTTTTGATAAATAGTCATTGTGTGAAAGGGAATCTTAAACAAGCCATTTATAAATGTATAAAGATGGGATGGGATGGGATGGGATTCCCTTAGATGGGAAGAAGAGACAGGAAGGGAAAGAGGGAGAGAGAGAGAGAGAGAGAGAGAGAGAGAGAGAGGGATGTGGTGGTTAAAGTGAGAGTCAGATTCTGGGCCATTCTCAGCCACAGCTTCTCACTGGGTAATTGGCCTCTCTCTCTTTCTCACAAAATAAACTATCGATAATAGTATCTTGAGTTCATGATCACTCTTAAGTCTAAACTATGTCTGTCTGTTTGTCTGTTTATCATATTTGAACACAGCTGATAGACCATGTTCGGTTTTGTGCCTGTGATTGAGATATGTGCAGTCTTGGGATTCTTAGATACCTTCAAGTGGTTTTAGTTTTTTCTTAAAAGCCAAATATGTAAACATACAGAACTGCCTTGTTTGTCATTGCTCTTTCTTCTCTTTTTTGACCTGTAGGTGAATGGAGTGAGGCTCTTTATCCTCTGCTAACAACACTCACAGACTGTGTGGCCATGATGAGTGACAAAGCAAAGAAAGCAATGGTCTTTCTTTTAATGCAGGACAGTGCTCCCACCATAGCTCTTTGCTTAAGCCTTCAGTACCGGAGGGATGTGGTCTTTTGCCAAACTGTAAGCAAGAACATGGAATTTATGTTTTGGAATTTTTGGGATCTGTGCTTGGAGGATTAACATTGAAAACAGTGATTATGCTCAAAAGGGGATTGTGATCACCTAGGGCACTTTAGTAATTTTGGAACCAGGTAACACAGTCACAGATTTCTCTTCTGTAGCGATAAACTTTTGGGATATTTAGAGTGCCCATGTGTCCTTTATTATAAAGGACAGAACTTTATAATAAGAAAGTTGTACTTTACATTTATTTTTCAAAAACTCACCTTTGTCCTTTATAGCTGTAGCAATAGAACGTAGACTTATATATTGCTCCATAGTGCTTTATAAGCACTCTCTGAGTAGTTTACAATATCAGCACATTGCCCCTAACAATCTCGGTTCTTATTTTACCTACCTCAGAAGGATGGAAGGCTGAGTCAACCTCAAGCCAATCAGGATCAAACTCCAAGCTGTGGCCAGAGTTTGCCTGCAATACTGCGTTCTAACCACTGTGCCATCTCTTATTTTGCTCATTTAACTTTTTCTGTTCAAATGGTATCACATAATGCACAGTCCTTCACATTCACGTGAAAAATATGGTAATTGAATTATCTTTTTAAAATAAATTTACATGTAGTGTTTAATTTGAGAAGTTTTTATTACAATATGCATCTTTGTAAAAAATTTCTTGGTTTTGCTACTGCATTATCCTTTGTAAAGCAAAGTTACAAACATAAACATTTTTTATCTTTACCAACTTCTTTCCTATTTTCCCTCTTTGCAGATTTCTCCTTTACTGTTTCCCAAAAAATATAATCACTGTAGGGATATCACATATTGACCTGCTTTTGAAACTATTCTGAAACCTTGGTGCAAGATGATTACACACAGTGTTAATTGGCACCAAATATATAGAGTTTATCCAGCAAATCTTAATGGCACTGAGTTCTAATCTGCTTCCAAGCAGAACTTGAAATGGTGGCATGGGCATTTGGGAATTGTATACCTAAAGGGTTGCTAAGCCATCTGGATTTTAGTAATTCCTCACAGACTTTACCTTGGGGTCATCCTTTTAGAAAGCTGTTAATTTAGGATTCCAGCACTGAATGGTGACATCCTGCTTGTAGAATACCCTATTACTTCCTGATATTCATTTACCCATTTGACAAAGTTGTTCAAATGTTGATAGTATTCAGCTACAATTTTCAGTAATATTAAGTATTAGATGGACAAGCTTTTAACAGTCATTAACAGATCCATTAAAACATAACTTAATAAAATGATGCTAACTGCAAAGGTTGGATAAGGATTTGTGTTGCGTTTCAAATGGTTGCACAGGTGAATTGAATCTCTCACTTCTGAATCTCCCACAGCAGTTACAAGAGGCACTGATGGATGAACATTGCAAAAAGTAATATACAAACAGTACAAATAAAATTGATAGCATGAAAAACAATTACAGTTCTGTCTTCAGATTGCAATGGAAATCTAATGACCTTTATGATTCATCCATTCAGATGCAATCTGCCATATTAGTACTGGCTGAGTAAGTTTGAGAGATCTTGGCAAGTATCTTCAATTATTTTATTTTTATATTCTTTTATGCAGCTTACAGCCTTGATCTGTGGTTTCATTATCAAGCTGAGGAATTGCCTGTACGATAATGGATTCCTGAGGCAGCTGTATACCATTGGTCTGCTGGCTCAATTTGAAAGCCTTTTAAGTACTTACGGTAAAGGACATTGCAGAGTTATTAATTCCTCAAAGTGTTACACTTAATTAAGTATATGTAGATAATATAGGTCTTGTTATTTAAACACAAAAAGGCTCTAGGTAGGCTTAGAATTAAACCATGAAGTACAATTAAATTTTAAATTGGTCAACAGAATCCAATGCAACTAAAAATAAAAGATGCATGCGATGATTATGGACCTGGTCCAAATTCAGAAGCTTGGTGTGTACTGATGAGTTCCTCAAGCAACAAAGAGCAATTTCAGAAGGATTGTTCAGCAGGACGAACAAATTTTAACACTGGCTGCTTTTTAGAATGGAAAACATTCCGCTGGAGTGTACCTAAATATTTTATTTGGATTGTGTTAATTCAAACAATGGCAACTCTTTCTAGCTGAAAGCCTTGGCAAAATGGAGACATTAAAGTTGAAATGTCAATCCAAACTTACAAGTTATTTTGGAAATTGGATTTATTTATTTATTTATTAAATCTATATACCAGTGATGGCGAACCTTTTAGAGACCTGCAATCCAAAACCCACTTATTTATTGCTGGGTGCCAGGTGGGCATGGCAACAGTGGGTGCGGCCACCTCTATGATGCTCATGGGGAGGGACGCCTGTGGGGCCGGGCAGGGTTGGGGGAGATCCAGGGGGTCTCTGGCAGCTGGGGTGGTGGGCCCGAGGCTCATCCTGTGGGGTGAGACGAGGTGAGGCAGGGCTGGAGTGCCAATTGCCGCAAGGCAAGGCAAGGCAAAGCAAGGCAGGGGCCGGGGCAGCTGCTGCCTGACACCATCAGCCCCTGCACACAGAGGCCAGCAAGTACATGTGGCAGACGGTGTCCATCAGCAGCCACAGCCTACTGGCTGTCCTGCATCATGGTGAACTGGCCACAGAGCGCGGGCAGAGATGGCCCCAAGATGGTTGGAAGGAAGCCTTTGCCCGGTCTGGGCCCTATTTGCTCAACTGCTCTGGGGGGGGGGCGCGGCACCTGCTGCTGCTCCAACCAGCCAACATGCAGGGTAGCAGGAGGAGGTGGAGGGGCAGCCGGAGTTCTGGAGCTGCCTCGGTTGCTCGCTGGTAGCCCGATGAGGAAGCGGATCTCGCGCACCAGAAGCGAAGCTGTGCCGCCCATCCTCATGCTGGTGGGTGCAGCAGCAGGGAAAAGCAAGATCTGGCATGCACCCACCCTTTGCCGCTGCCGCCCCACATTGTCCTGCATGTGCCTCCGGGATATGTGTGCAGGACGATGTGGGGTGGCAGCAGGGAGGGGTGGGCATGCACCACACCTCACCTTTCCCTGCCGGCGCCCCCACCAGTGCAAGTATGGGCAGCACAGCTTCACTTCCAGATCTGCTGTCGTCCAGGCCCGGCGATGCAGGGATCACTGCCACCGCCTCCTGCCCAGCCCCCGCGTTGCACCACTGTCTCACGAGGCTGGGCATCCGGTGTGCAAGATCCGCTGCCTTGTCAGGCTGCTGAGGCAGGGCCAGGTGTGGCCAGCGAATAGCCGAGACAGTTCCAGACACCCGGCTGCCCCTCCTCTGCCTCCTGCTTCCCTGTGTGGTTGGCTGGTCAACTGGGTGAGAGCTCCTTTCTGGCTGTCCCGCGACTGTCTCCACCCATGCCAACGGGGCTGCACTGCAGAAGGGAAATGGCGGCTCTGATTCCCCACTGCTGGCCGCCCTCCCCCCAGCCCCCTGCCCGGTCCCCTTCTATGCAATCCTACGTGACTGCAGTGTGAATGAAAGGCTCAGCTGGTGGGGGGGCAGCTTTTGTCCGCATAGGCATCCCGGCCCTCCCATTCCCCCTAGTCAGACCCCCTCACCTCCTAGCCAGGACATGATGACCCCCCCATCCTCCTGCACCCACCCCAGTCTGAGACTCCTGCAGCCACCCCACCGTATTCTTTTGTCCCTCCAGCTGGGACCTCCAGCAATTCTGCAACCGGGACCTTCTGCCCCCACCCCAGCCGACCCCCCTCAGCAGCCCAGCCCAACCAAGATGGAGGGAAGGCGAGGCAGAGAACTGGTTGTTAAATGATTTGAAACCCACCACTGGTCGCTTCCAAAGGCTGCTCACTCTCCAGCCAAAACCTGCTCCTTTTATAGGTTTCCCTCACCCCGCCCAGCTCTCGCAGCTGTTCCTGGACTCTGCATGCGTGGAGAGGTAAAGGGGAGCAGCCCGGCCCTGCATCCCTCTTTCTGTGGCAATGGCGTGGGTCCTGACAGAGATGGCTCTGCATTCTACCTGTGGTACGCGTGCCATAGGTTCGCCACCATGGCTATATCCCACTATCCAGAGCGATTCTAGGTGGCTTAATTTCTGCTTATGGTGTTGACATAAATTGCAAGTCTCTGCAGATCTGCAGAGGAATGCCTCCATGTTAGCTATCAGTGCACTGACATCTTTATCATATTTATTTATTAAATGTATGTGCCACTCATCTCACTATTGATGCAACTCGGGGTTCATATTAGTATGAGGATGTGATGTTGGAGCCAGAAGCATGGCTAGTTCCTGTAACACTGTAGGATTGTTATATTGCAATTAAAGTGGGAGCAGTAGCCATAGCTCATCCTTATCCAGGTTCAGAAGTTAAGCAGTTCAAACGAGGTTAGTGCTTGGAGAGACACTTTAGGGAAGTGGCCCCCAACCTTTTGGATACCAGGGACCGGTTCCGTGGAGAGAGATTTTTCCATGGACCGGAGGGGGCATGGTTCCATGTACTGCCTGCATCCTGTAGATGGGGCTTCATTTGTTTGTGTGACCCATTTTCTAGCATGCTGCAAACCAGTGCCAATCCACAGATCGGGTGCTGGGGTCTCCTGTTCTAGGGAACTCCAGAGAAAAAAGTTAACTAAGAAATTGAAAAGAAAATCCCAGACATTATCTCCTGTTTTCAAGAAAACTAAACAAACTTATTCAGAATCATTGGGGCTTCAACTTGCCTTGAAGAAGATTATTTTGTAATACTTGACAATAAATGTAAACATATATTTTGTAATCATATTAATATTATCTTCATTTTTTTCATTTAGGAGAAGAACTGGCTATGTTAGAAGATATGAGTGTGGGAATAATGGACTTGAGAAATGTAACATTTAAAGTAACTCAAGCCACTTCCAGTGCATTTGCTGATATGCTGCCAGTCATTACAGGAAATCGGTAAAAAATTGGAATGGGGATGGAGAAGAGAGGTTGGGGAAGGGAAAGATTGGGGAAATGTATTCCCTAACAGGGAACATTTTAGAACATGTGCTAATTAATAGGTTGTTTATACTAATGTGCTGCTCTTGTGCAACATGGTAAACACTAATTGACCATCTGTTTTACTTATGTAAAATAAAAATAAAAGGCACATTATCATTTTTTAAATTATGAATGAAGCTCTCAGATAAGGATTTGTAGAAGGAATAGATACAACATAGAGAACAAATGTTGTTTCTTCAGTATGCTGAGGAGGAAATGTAGTTTTCTCACACAGAATTTTAGAACTAACATATATCTAGTCCAGCACTTCTCAACGTCAGCAACTCTAAGAGATCTACACTTCAGCTCCAAGAATTTCCCAGCCAGTATGATATTTAGCCTGTTCATTCCAATTTTGTGTTACTAGCTAACTAAGCAGAAAGAGTTGGGAAATTCATGTTATAATAATCAAAGGAGGAATAGAAGTGAGTTTTCATGTAGATTTAAAGTTGGCCTGATTTGACCTTGTCTGGGCACATGTAACTATAATATTGTGGTAGTTAATATATCCACTCATTATGAGCAAAGTTCAAAGGTTGTTTATATCATTGTGCTTTTCTTGTGCAGCATAGTTTGTGAAGCTAAGACTCTTGGGCTGATATGACATTTAAGCCATGCCTTTAGATCCTCCTATTATACTGTATTCATTGTTTTCTGAAAACTGCCAAGAATGGAAATGCTTAGAATGCTTAGAGTTTTGATTTTAGTTACTGTTAGCAATCTCTGACATAGCAACATACCGTATGCTCTAAATATTTTTTTTAAAGTGGGCTTTCTGAAAATATTACTATTGCTTGATTAGCTTCAACTGTCTTGTCTAAATAAGGGATGGATTTAATGTGAGAATTCCACTACCAAGCACCTTGTTCGATGCCTTGCCCCGTGAAATCCAGAGTGGCATGTTGCTGAGAGTTCAACCAGTCCTCTTCAACGTGGGAATCAATGAACAGCAAACTTTAGCAGAGAAGTACATATACCTACACATTCTCTTTTCTAATTTTTCATGTTTAACAGAAGACAGATGAATTGGTTTCCTCCTCCTAGATATATATTGAATGACTTTCCAAATGGTTATTTAAAGGATAGCTCAGGAAGAAGTTGAATGACATGAAAGACTTTTTGGAATCAGTAGTTATATGTCTAGTGGTTACATTGATTTGTACTCTTTATGGTCTGCTGATATTATATTTAAGATTAGTTGCAGGCTTGGCCTCATGAGTTACCTTGAGGCATTTACAATATTATCCAGTAGATCATGCAGAAGTCCAAATTCAAAAGGCAATATGTGATTTGAGCATGCACGGAGACAGTGGAGGACAGGGAGGCCTGGTGCGCTGTACTCCATGGGATCGCAAGGAGTCAGGCATGACTTAGTGACTAAACAACAACAAAGGGATGCCTATGTAATGCTTATGGAGAACAAATAAGATGTCTTTTTGCCAAAATTATTTCTTAGCTGTAAAGGGCAACCATGCAACTCCAGGAAAGTCACAGCTGCTTTAAAGTGTTCCCATATATGTCCAGATTCCTTTTGTCCTTTGAATCAGAATTCCTGACGAGTCTAATACCTGGTGCTTGCCACTTTAAAGGAGCTATAGTAAAACCTAAGATAGAATCCATTGTATTGCTTTGATGGCTCTAATAAGATCATATCAAAATCTGTATTTTGATCTCCTTATGTTGAGGAAACAGTAAACAAACTATTAAATGGAGTACCTGTTCCTTTATATTATTACTAGAAATCAAGTTTTTCTTGATAAGCCTGCAGAGTCTATGCCTATGGATTTGAAATTGATTAATCTCCTTAGTTAAATACTTTTAACTACTGGATTTTAGGGCAAAGTTCTCATAAAACTATAGAATAACTAAACATAGAGTAATTAAAAATTAGTATCACGATAATTTTTAAAACCTATTTTAAAACTTTTGTATAAATGAGTTACCTTGTCTGTTTTGTGTTTAAGGCAAGTGTTAAAATATTAATAAATGAAATGAAAAATAAAAATTGAAAGCTTGCAGATGTTCTCCCATCTTTGTTTGGAAGCTCTATTAAAATGGCCCTTTAAATTTTTAAAGGTTTGGCGATACCTCCTTGCAGGAAATTATTAACATGGAAAGCTTAGTACGGTTGAATTCCTACTTTGAGCAGTTCAAAGAAGTTTTGCCTGAAGACTGTAAGTGTGAATTACAGATGTTTGTATTCAACACAATTTAAATCAAGATCTGCTTTTATATGATGAATCTAACAAAACAATGAAAATTAGTAGCTATGTCTCTTGAATACATTAAGGTTTCTTTAATCTCAGTTAATGTTTTCAGTTGGTTTGGTAAAAGGGAACAGTATTAACTTCCGTGGGACAATCCTTACACCCTGATTGTTATGTCCTGGGCCTGGGCCGGCAGGCACAGGCTGCAGCGATTGGCCCGGGCAGACCATGTGGATGCCCAGGACAAGAAAGGCTGCTTCCAGCCTTTGCAATGATTGGCCAGCAAGGTATTGTGCTGCCTGGGACAAGAAAGGCTGCTTCCAGCCTTTGCAATGATTGGCCAGCAAGGTATTATGCAGGAGGGCTATAAAAGGGGGCCTGCACCATTTTAAAAGCTGCTCTGTTGGTGTTGCAATAAAGGAGACTTTTGGAACTCGTTGCTTTGTCTCAGTGCCTCTTTTCCTGAAACAGAACACTGATATTGAAGTGTTTGTGTGGCCATAGATACATGTAGATGCCAAGAATACCCAAAATACAATTCCAGTTGAAAATGATTGATTGATATGCATCATCAACTCATTCCTTAGTGACCACATAGATACTTTACATCACAATCTATTTTCCTAACCTGGTCTTTCGGTTTGTCCAGTGCTGCACTTATTGCCACAGTAATGGTGTCTACCTAACTGCTGATGGTCATCCTTGTCTCTTTCCTTCACCTTTCCCAGTGTTAGAGCCTTCTTCAGAAAGCTCTAATTCTTCTCAAAATGTCCAGTATAGGATAATTTGAGCCTAGTTAAGTATGCCTTGAGTGAGAACTCAGGATTGATTTTTTCAATGATCTATTAGTTTGTTTTCTTGGCTGCCCATGATATTCTCAGGAATCTTCAACAACATCAAATTTTAAAAGCATCTATCTTCTACTTTTTTATAGTCCAATTTTCACTTTTATGGAGAATACCATGGCCTGCATGATTCTGATTTTTGGAGGTCACTTTGACAGTCATGGAATTTGAATATCTTTTTCAAGTCCTTCTACTTAACTGAAATAAGAAGTATAACTCTAGTTTTTGTTTAAATAGCTGGCAATCTGCTTCCTGCAATGATGGTGGCATCACATTTATGAGACTAAATCAATTCTATGCTCAATTGTAGATAAGAAAAGGGATATTCATTCTGATTTTAGCAGTACTGTTCAAGGAACTTCCAGTTTAGAATAAAAAGACTTCCCCTTTCACTATTGCTGCTTATTTTTTACCAAAACTCTTTTTCCTATCTGCTCCCTCAAAAGAGAATGCAACCATTACAAAAAGTGCTCATGACCCTCATAGGAGGTCCCCAAAAATCTGAAGGAATCTAGTAGTACTTTTTCCAACTACACATTTTATTAAAAAGCATTAATTTTCATGCAGCTCACCATATCAGATGCAACATATCAGTTGATGTGACATGTAAGAATCGCTTCTGGATTCCTATTATGTATGGTCTAAGTTCTCAAAGTACAGAATATTGTGTGATCCATAGGTTTTATGTATTCTGGTTCAGATTTCCTAAGTTCTACTAAATTTCTATGGTTTTGTTAAAAACATAACTCAGCCGTCGTACTCAGTCATTTGGCAAAGAAAGACTCCTGACCATTTGTTTTTGCCAAGAGTACATTTTACTGAAACTTAAGTGATTATAGAAGTAGAATAAGCTGAATCTGAGGTTTTCCTGGGGAAACAATACAAAGTAAATTTTCCTCTGCCCCTCCAGCCATCTCTCCCCCCCTTTACTGTATTTGTAAATGTCCAATTAGGTGCTTGCATATTGTTTAGGAAACAGGTTCTCAGTTCTCAGCTCTGCATACCTTGGCTGGCTGAAGCTTCTCACAAAGCTCAGCTGGGCTTTCATCCTCCCCTCTTCTTCCTCTTTACATTCCAATCTTTCCAATCAATTCCCCCACACACACAATTGTTAATGTTAGGCTGTCAGCTGAAGCTTGGATAGGAGAGATGCAGCCATGACAATAGCTATCTATTGCTAAGCCTAACCTATCCATTCCCAGGTGATATGTGCAGATTGATAGTATAGAAAAGAAAATGCTCTTGGCCATTTGTTAAGTTGTGTTTATTTTTTTTCTTCAGGTCTACCTCGATCTCGGAGTCAAACGTGCCTGCCTGAACTGTTGAGGTTCCTTGGACAGAATGTACATGCAAGAAAAAATAAGAATGTTGATATTCTTTGGCAAGCTGCTGAGGTAGAATTTAAGAAAGTTAACTTAGTATGTTGTTACTTATCTCCTATGATAATGTTATGTCTTCAGAATAAGCAGCAGTGCAGAAAGCTGCAGATATCTGCATGTTCTCTGCCATTGTGCCATGTTGTTTCCTTGACCAAAAAGATGCAGAGCATTATAGTAACCAGATAGGCAGAAAAATGAATAAATGTTGAAATTTGGTTCTATCATGGCATGATTCCTTCCAGGAGTAGCAAAATTTTAGGTTCTGGGTACTGTTGCATAAATTCAGTTTGGGCATCAGAAAATAGAATCAAATTAAAAATTGCTACAATCTTGTAAGATTTTGACCATTTTTAATATTTTCAACTCATCAGAATTCTGGAGATTATTTAAAGGGCTTCAGGATTATATCTGATTTATCTGAAAAGGAAATAGAATAGGACTAAATTTGATGTAAGGAAGAAGTCAGTAAAAAACAGATTAAGTCTAAAAATTGACTAGATAAGGTTGGGGCCTGCAGAGAAAATTACCCCAGTCTGTCCCAATGGGAAACTCAGTTGGGCAAAGCCTTGGAATGCTGGTGACAGCTTCATCTAAGACCCTCTCTCCTGGTCCTATGAACCACTATGGAATTTATGCAGCTTGCTCTGTACTTTGCATTGCCTACATATACACAAACCACAACTCAAGTCAAGAAATGTTGGAAAAGTAGAAACATATTTAGACGCACAGCAGTCCCATGAGGTGGGTTGGGCTGAGAGAGAGTGACTGGCCCAAAGTCACCTAGTTGGCTTTCATGGCTATGGCGGAGGTAGAACTCGCAGTCTTCTCCCTTAACCACTAAACCAAACTGACTCTCCATATATCTCTACATAGACTATATTGTAATAGTGTCGTTTTTGTAGCTACCATCAAGAATTGTTAGAAATATTTCGTTGGCAGCCCTTAATTTAAAAAGAAAATGCTGTTAAACTATTGACACTCTTGCCAGCTTGGCTGCCCTAGGAGAAGCCTGCCTATTTTCTATTGATGCTACTGTTACCAGTTGCCTTGTTCTGCATAGAAATTGCAATGATGGGCACTGAGAATTGCTATACTAGTATAGCTTGATCAGTGAGGATCAGAAGGGAGTTAAAAATTTACGAGAAGCTGGACATGACATAGATGCATATAGAAAAGCGATGGCGCATGCATCGTGGCACATACTGACCACTCTGTAGATTTTGACACTTGAAAACCCATATTCCATGGCTGAAGTAGGCAATCTGGGCTCTACAGATGCGGGGTTTTTTTATTTAGTGGCCACAATAAATGTGACATTATTGAAAATTGTCCTCCAGTATCTGTAGAGCATATCTGTATCTAACTAAACTATTGACAATAGGTAAAACAAGAGGAAGAGGAGGAGGAAGGAGGAGGAAGAGGAGGAAGGAGAAGAAGATACTGAAGTGATGAATAGTTTTTGCAGATATGAAATATGCCACAGACTAGGATTTGGTAGAGCAGTCTTGAAAGGCTTAAAAATATATTCAATGCCATGCTATATGTACAACGATCAGAGTCATGCAAGCCATGATATTCCCTGTGTCACCCTGTAAAAGCAAAGGTTAAGATTTAAACAAGTAACATAGGTAGAGAATTGCCACCCTCAAACTTTGCTTTTGGAGATGATTCCTGAGAATGCTGTGGGCAGCCAAGAAAACAAATCAATGGGTTACTGAACAAATCATCTTAGAGTTCTCACTTGAGGCACAAACGACCAGGCTCAAATTCTCTATTTCAAACATCTTCTATGAAGACCCAGCTTTCTGGAAGAGGCTCTAATGCTGGGAAAGATGCAAGCAAAGAGAAGAACAGGGCAACCAGCAGCAAGGCATGATACAGGTCCCATCAGCGTAGATGTATCAGCTGGCAGGGGCCAGGAGGTGTGCCTTTTCTGCTATAACATCTGTCATCTGGAAAGTTCTCCCTCCAGAAATAGAATGTATGAATATATGAATGTATGTATGTATGTATGAATACAGGTGGATGGACTCAGTTATAGAAATGAAGAGTACACTATTGAGAGATTTGAAAGAATAGGCTAGAGATAGTTCATCACGGAAAAGATGTGGTTGCTAGGAGTCAAAAACAACTTGATGGCATATAATCATACCTAAATAATTCAAGACTGACTATAAATTCTACATTTCTTGAATTCTAACCTCATCCCAGTGTTATGAAATGAGATTCTCCTAGTAATTCTAGAGTAATTATGTATAATTTTTGCCTGCATTACAGTGGAACTAATACCAAGCATTTTTTCCCCAGATTTGCCGCAGACTAAATGGTGTTCGGTTTACAAGCTGCAAAAGTGCCAAGGATAGGACTGCCATGTCGGTGACCCTGGAGCAATGTCTCATACTGCAACATGAACATGGAATGGCCCCACAGGTCTTCACTCAAGCCCTGGAGTGCATGAGGAGGTAAGAAGACCTAGTTTGCTTGCGCTTACTTGTTTCTAATCCTGGAGCCCTGTAAACTGCAGATGAGTATTCAATACTATACGCTTTTTCTTTACAAATATAACTGTCATTGCTGAGTACTCTGAGATCCAGATTTTGAAATATTTAAATTGTCTCCTCGGAATGAGACATAAAGAAATTGCTAAGCATGTAGATTTTTCTGCTTTACTGCTGTGAAAGCTTCATAACTAACATTGTCAAGGCTTCTGTTTTCCTTAGAAGCGAAAATGCAGAAGTAACAACTGAATTAAGGAGAAACATCTGCAGGTTGCATTGGTTTCCTATGCTTATTCCTCAGACAATAGTTTGCCCCTTCAGTAAATTTCTATTATGAATGTTTCATGGTAGAGCAAACAACTCCATCACAACCTGCTGGCACACTGTGGTCATATCAGTTTAATCTGCTTTCTGAAGTAGCTGACATGTTCACAAAGTTCAGTTTCAGTTTTAAATAAAAATCCAATACATTGTTTCAAGCACTGCTGAAAAGCTCCAGTTTTACCTATGAAGCAAGAAAGGATAAGAAATCCAGATTTAGTGTTTAATCGTAGTTTAACATGATTATAGAGTTCTGCTTTCAACATTCACTTTTGCTGAATGTAAATGTTCTGTGTGTCTTCTCACAAGTTCTCACAAACATTCAATTCTCTTATCCTTTCTATATGTTTTTGCTATTTGACCCTTTCTAAACCTTCAATGGTTTATTATTTTTAAAACCTACTTGCAATGTCATCTTACTTTACTAAATGTTTTCTAATTCCATAAATTCTATCTAGCAGCTACATAATTCCATAAAGTGCAATTGCCATTGTTTCACATTGAGCCAGCAATATAAGAATGTAGTATGTCTAATATAAGAGAAATTATTTTCAAGTTAATTCTTATCATTTCATTAATTGTTCCTCTGATAACATTCACTAGATTTTAACACAGTGATCTAATATGGATCACATCAAGGACCAGTTATATTCAACAAACGTTTAGCTCATACCATCCTGAGAAAAAGTTATCACGTTGTTGTGCTTTGAGAATTTAGGAAATAAAACTTCATAGAATTGATGTGGACAGTGTTATATAGTAGACCTAATAGTAGGAAATCTATTTTTATTTGCTTGCTAATTTTGGCATTATTTTACAACAAAACATTTTTTTTCTGGCAATACAGACATTTCATTGATAATACAAAAATTAAAATTGAAGCAAGGGAATACTCTGTTGATCTGAGTCTGAAAAAAGCTGTTTAGCAATCAATATTTCTTCTGTAGGATTTTAATTTAATACCTTTTACTAAATTGTTATTTAAACAAATGCTAATTTTCTAAAACATTCATTGAAAACCTCAAAATAAATGTCTCATGTAATTCATCTTGCCTAAGATATTTCTCTACAGACCTAATTCTTCATTTTTTTTCCTGCCTTTTAATACACATCTTTATTTCTGAAAACTTCGAATAACAAAGTGAATAAAGTCAGAATCAGGGATCAAAGAAGAGGATAGATTTACTTTTTTAAACTTTTAAGCTCTCTACCCGTTCTTAAAGTATATTTTAGGCTGGAAAATAGGACATCTATCTGGTTTATTATAGTTCTTAAGCCATTGAGCTAAAGCCATACATTTTAAGAAACAACTTACCTTTCTACTTCAGAGGGAAGATGTTCTCTACATTGATAGTTGAATTAATTCAATATACCTGGTATTGAAGAATTCTTGAAAGGGTCAAATACCACAATGGTTATTCATGTTCAGTTTGCTTTTCAGAGTTCCCTTTCTTTGCAGCATGTGGAAAGCATGGCACAGCCGCATGGAACATCGCTTAGCCAAATGAGAAAAATGAACATGGAAAACCATTCTAGTTTGACATACATGTATTTATTTTCAGTAGACTACAGTATTCTTTCTTATTTTCTCTTTTTTATTCTCTTTCTCTCTCCTTTATTCTGTAATTGTGCCTTTTATTATTATTTTGAAAAATTGGCATATTTTCTTATTCTTTATTCTCACACATTCTACTTTATGTTGTGAATTCTTCAAAGTTTATTTTCTTCCCTCTTCCTGAACCTATTTTGTTCTCTTTTATTTTGTCATCTTGATTCTCTTTTTATCTTTTGATACATACATTGCATGTCTGTGTTTTTTTTTCTGTTTCTTTTCTCCCCAAATCTCTTCCTTTTCACAGTATTGGAACACGGGAGGTAGTCATCCAGAAGAACTTGTGTGGCCTGGTGCCCCTCCGGGATTTCAGGCTAGATCCCAATCTTCTTTACTCTATTCCTTTATTAGCTCTAAGCCCCAATTTACTGATTGTGTGGCTGTTTCTGAGCATTGCATACTTGGTGGCTAAATTACGTTGCAAATGAAGTAAAACAAACCGAGCAAAAATTCAGTAAAGTGCCAGAATATATATTGCCATCTGGTACCAATTTGTCAAAAAACGTCTGATAGCATTGTTGCCAAGAATAATGATTAGTATGCCTTACAATTTTGTTTCTATTGTACTAAACTTGTAAAATACACATTTGATTCTTTTATGAAAAGGAATTGTATTGTTTACACTGTCATTGAGCTTCCAGTGCTTGTAATGTAAGTCCAACAGCTGCCTGTTACCTCAGTAATTTGATCAATCTGAAGTTTAGTTTCTGTATCATCTATTTTAGGCATTCAAATCCACCTTCCCTCCATTTCTTTATAACTACATACAGCTTTGTTTCACATGTTTCTTGTTATTCAGAGAAAGAAACTATGTTTTAAAAAAAATTCTAATGTTTTTATATATCCTAAAAAAGTGTCAGTCTTGCTTTTCATATTTAATTGGTAAGGGAAAAAAAAGGGGGGCTTTGTAACATATTTATTTACGCATCTGTTTTAAGGCATCTTTCTACTTTGATTTACAAGCATCACTTCTACAATGTTACAGTCATAAATACGTAAAACCGTGAAGTTGGTTTTCTCATAAGTTAAAACTGTTGCAACAGTTTGCCCTTTAAAAATTAACTTGAAAGCAGTATGCTGCACACAATACAGAGTCAGTATATTTATACATTTAATTTCTTACTGCATCAAAAAAGAAAAAAATATATAGAAAGAGTAAGCTTAACAATCATCTAACTCCATTCAAATCATTGGGAAAGTATTTTTATAATCTGTGTGATACAATGCTATCACATGTTAATTAATATTTACATTAAATATTACCATAAACTGCACTAATAGCTCTTTTAGGTTAATGTTAAATTTTAAATCTTAAGGTATATGAAAGATGCAAATGTATTTTACTGATATCCTGAATCCTAAACATTCAATTTGTAATAGAATTATATTAGTTTCTATCATTATATTTATCCACCTAAAGCAGTGTTTCCCAAACTTGACAATTTTAAGGCATGAGGACTTCAACTTGAAGTCCTTGAAGTCCACATGCCTTAAAATTGTCAAGTTTGGGAAACACTGACCTAAAGCAAAGATATATATATATTCCCATCCTGATAGTATTTATAACTAACATCAGTGCACGTTTTAGGGGAATTTAAATCAGGGCTCTTCAAACTTGGTCCTTTTATGACTTGTGGACTTCAACTCCCATAACTCCTTAGTCAGTGTGCCTGGCTGAGGAATTCTGGGAGTTGAAGTCCATAAGTCATAAAAGGACCAAGTTTGAAGAGCCCTGATTTAGATATACAGGTAACTCTTGGGTATTAAAAAGCAGCTCCAAGACTTATAAATAAAATTCTTTAATATTTCGTTGTGCTACATCCTGTTTATCAGATCTGTTGCATCACATCCAAATTATATTGCAAAGATAAGATGTAAATGTATTCTTGATTGGATTGATTTGAATCTTGATATAGTAGCACAGTAGCTGCTTTCCTGGTAGGTATATGATTCCATTGCATTGAAAGGTAAAGGACTCTATTATACTGCATGATTGTTTCACTCGCCAGTAGCAAGGTAGATAATGAAAGTATGAGAAACTTCCTGTAGATGTCATGCAATAATGTTCAATTTGTAAATTGAACCACAATTTATTTTATTTTTTAAATTAAACCATAGTAGTTACATCTTGGTAACTACTGCCATTGTCCTATGACAAATTTATTAGCAATATATTGATCATTTTATGCCAAATCTAAGCATGCTCTATGGCAGTGGCTCCCAACCTTTTCTATACCTCATACCCCTAGAACACTTCTGATATATTCTTGCATCCCTTATAAAAGTTTGAAATAACAGTAACAAATTATGCATATACACTATAATTTTGAAAACTCAAGTTTTCGCACCCCCTGGAATATCATCTTGTCATCCCCAGGGGGTGCTCGCACCCCCGGTTGGGAACCCCTGCTCTATGGCATGTTCACATCATACCACCATTTCCATACCACCATTTCTACACCACCATTTCTTTTGCTTATCCAACAAGATCACTTAGTTCAAACCTAGGCTTTGGCCACTGCATGCATCTGTATGGCCTCGCAAATGAAAATAAATAGCCCTTAATCACACCTATTTTCCCAAGAGAATAGAGTTTAGTACATAAATGCAGTGTTGTGTTTGAGGAAGTAATGCTGGGTTGATAAATAGCCAGCTCATTGAGGACAACATCCAAGTAAGAATTTTCTATGTAGGGAATGTCGTTCTTACTGAGGTGCGCAAATTATTTTCAATAAATCGGACAATACATTTGGAGGGCTGGTTTGAAAAATTCAGCTATCCTGCCTTATTTTGTGGCATTAAACATGCTAGAGAGCTTTAGAGTTAAAATTGTATATGATTGTATGTATAGGGGTATGTATGTATGTGTAAGTGTATGTGTGTATATATACACATAGATACATACATATATATACATACATACAAACACATCACAAGTTATTAAATCCAAAACTGCATGAATCTTTATTTCATGTATTTCCTCTCTTAAGTCTGGAGAATTTTGTTTAAACATGTCCAGTGGTAGAAATGATGCTGAAACCAAATATATAATTAGTTGTCACTACATACTGTACAATAACTACACCAAATAATCGACTATTTAACCCATACATTTAAAATATAAAGAAGCCAGTTAGACTTATCAATGTAAGAATATAAGTGTGATCCATAAAAGATAATGCAAATAAAATCTTTTATTTATATTTGTGTAATAAATATCAGTCGAACATACCCAGGAATTCAATACAATATTTTAAAGTTTTATTTGACTAGGATTTTCATTGTACTGATAACTTGACTAAATTATTATAAATTGACAACCCAGTGCATCTTGGAAACAAAACTGTTGTAGTTAATACTCAGAGCATGTTCAATGTTGCTATCCTTAGTTGTCAACTTACAAATAAATTATATCTGTCATGTTTGTATACCTTTGTCTTCTGCTTCTGCAGCTTTCATTTTCCTTTGTCAACTTCTGTTTAGAGAAACCAAAGAAGGAAACTTGGAAAGTATATTTTGAGAATTCAAATTCCTGATGTAATTATGTATATGTATGTATATCTGATAATAATGGCCTTTGCAATAGAGTTCAGTCTTGCTGAATGAAAGTGTGCAATAGATTTCAGAGCCAAATTGAAAATGCTGCGATAAAACTCCTGCAGTAACATTTCTTCTCCTATGCCAATATCTTCCGGAAGTGATGTTATACTGCCAATATGTTCCCTGTGATTCAGATAATGAGCTGGCAGATTTGCCTACTCTATTACACCTACTTTTCCTCCCCCTCCCAAAAATGCATTGCTGCTTGTTTAGATTTGCAAGTGTAGCTATTAAGAGTCAATGTGCCATATTTTTTTATGTACACCATCAATGGCCCATTACTTAATTATGGATTCAAATATTTTACTGAAATGAAATAGCGAACTCCTTTCATTTTAATTAACATACTGATAATTTTGTTTTTGTTTTACTGCTGTCATTTTTTTCCTTTTCTGTGCTTGTCTTTTTCCCCAGTGAGGGCTGTCGAAGAGAAAATACAATGAAGAATGTTGGATGTCGCAAATATGCATTTAATTCCTTGCAGCTGAAGGCTTTCCCTAAATATTACAGGCCTCCTGAAGGAACTTACGGAAAAGTTGACTCATAAGATTATGGTGTCTTGTAATTAGTTGTTCCGTTAAAATATGTGAATACACTTAACTTTAGTATATGAACTTTGATGACAATGTCAGAAAAAAATGTTTTTGTATGTTTCACTAGGGAATACTGAACATGTAATTTTGTTAAATTGGATTCCATAGGAAAAAAACAATTACATGCTGAATAATTATAACATGAAACTAGAGTAATGATTGCCCAATGTAAGATGTCTGCATATATTAATTAATTAATCTCTTGCCTAAATAAGAAAGATAATTCCTGGACTGTGGAGGATTTTATGAATTAAGCAGCTGTTTCCCTCATTTTTATACTGATTTTATTTAAAACTTTCATAATACTTTTTAAAACCTCAGTGTTGTAAATAGTAAATAAATTGGAAGTGAGGAGTTTGGACAAATACAACAGGTATGACAACTAGAAGAAAAGGCTCAGTTTTAAAAACGGAGCAGTGCATTAAAAGTCGTGAATTTAAATTTATTAGAACACTATTATATAAAAGAGTTATATAGAAGCCAGGAACTGACACATAACCCTATTTGACTTGGTTTAGAAACTGGATTGAAAGGTGATAATTTCAGTTAAGGAAGAAACTTATTGCATTCCAACACCTAAAACCCCTTTTAAAATACAAGGAAATGATAGTTGCACATAAGAAAATACTGCTTGCATCTAGTAAAGTATGACTTAGCCCTAAACAATTAATCCAGGTAGAAGATAAGGTATCCATATCTATTACAAAACAGAGAGTCACATGGATTTCTACTTGCAGTTTGAATAACTTCACTGGGCTGAACTGTCTTCCACGTCATAATGTTTTTAATCATTGTCACTTTACCCTACTTTGTGTGCGGGTCAGCTGATTCCACAGTGATATGCTGTGCAAACCAGCATGTACAGATCAGATCTTCTGAATCCCTTTTTCTTAATGATAAGAATGATTTTAGGCAAACTTATTTCTATACAAAAACTGTCCTATGCATTTATGACTTCTAAGTTCCTAAGATGCTTGCTTGCTAGATCCTATCCAGAATATAGGTGCACTTTAATTTACAGAAATCAGTGTTCCTCATTTTTCTGTTGAAATTCCTACTTTGCATATTGTTTTATATAAAATGTTTCCAGTACCTGCTACTAAATTTGAAACTCAGTATCTACAATTTGTTCCAGAACATCAGAGTTTGAATTCAGGTTAATGGATTGATGGAGAAGGGGAATAATTACTTACATTATTTAACAGAATGATTGCTTGCTTAGGAAATGATATGTAACAGAAGCCAAATTTCCATGAACATCTTTCTGGCATTGCTGAACTGTAACTTATTCCTTTGTTCATTATTCCTGTAACAAATTCATATTTTAAAAGCAAGATGAACTACCACTTGAAAAATGTAATAGTACCAGTACATATACTGTAGTTGCTTTACTCATATTACAGAAGAGTAGCATATTCATCAAATGACTATTAATATATAAAAACTTTGATTAATAAGTCACTATCTATGTTTTTATGGGTGTAAATGTTTATCACCTAAAAAGCTACGGTTCAGTAGTAGCATTTTGATGGATTTTGGAAGCTGTGGGCAGGTTGCGAAATCCTTGCAATTTTTCATTCTAACCCCAGCATGTTTAAATCCCACTGATACTTAAGGGATTTACTTACATGAGCATTACTGGCCATTTAATGGAAAGGGGGAAATGGCTCAATTACTTTGGGGTCTGGTATGCATTTGCCATTCAAATATTTTACTTTATTCTGCGTTTTTTGCACTTTATATTTATTGAAGGTATGAATGTTCTTTTCAGACCCAAGAAATTTGTTTTAGCTTTGCTTTTTAGTAGTTTAATAGTTTAATTGTTATATGTACTAAACTGTCTGGAACCTTCAGAGTGCAGTAAATTAACTGATCATGCTGTGTTTCTCAAACTTGGTAACTTGAAGATGTGTGGACTTAAATTCCCAGAATTCCCCAGGCAGCTGACCGGGGAATTCTGGCAGTTGAAATCCACTCATCTTCAAGTTACCAAATTAGGAAAACGCCGCTTTCAACCCTTAAACACAACAGGCAAAGGAATAGTCATATTTATTGTTGATAGAATTCCTGGTTGTAGCTAAGATTAAAAGGGCAAGGCAGTGAAGTCAACAAGAGTTGAGATGTGCAAGTAAGCTTTCCTTGATCTAGAAAGTTAGCTGCAAAACAATTTAAAACAAAATACAAATCAGGCTGCCATGAAAAGTTGTTCCCCTCCAAACTATTCTTGGACAGGACCTTGCAGAGAGAATATTCCCTTCCTGAGCTCTGCTGGCCCAAAACAATGCTGATTTCCAGTCTCAAGGTAGCTAAAGGCATCTCTCTGCAGCTGTGGATGTCTTTGGCATTCCTTCCTCTTCCTCCAGAGGCAGCAGCTACACAAGGGGCAAGGATGGGGGGGGGGGCTGATGCCATCTCACTATTCTTCCTAGGGCCAGGAGGAATCTCCCTGGCCCTCTTCTCCCTCCTTCTCTTCTTCCCAGGATGATGCTTCAGCCAGGGACAGGATTCTGCTGAATTATATTTTATTATTATTTTTTCACTGCTTTTAGTGTTTAATATATTGAATGGCAGAATTCTGGAAAATTGGTTAAATTTATATTTTCAGGAAAAGTTCAAATGTGACAGAGAAACTCATTTTGATATATGCTAGCTTGTTTAATGTTTCTTCTCTGTTCACTCCATCTCCACCCCACCATTGTTTTAATTTAAATTGTCTGACATTAAAACTTGTTGACAGCAAAAGAAGATAAGATTAATTGCAATGATTGCTGCCAGCACAATGTATTATTCTCCTTCATTAGTCATCTCCTGAAAGCAATGAGGGTTTTTTCCCGGTTTCTAAAGGGAAAAGGAAATTCTGTTTCACTGTTATTTCCATTGGTGTGAACATAAAGCTCATATGCATTAGGAATCTGTATGTTTTTCAGAAAAGAGAACTTTAAATTAGAACTGTCAGCACTGCGAGATGGTGAAGTTTTAATCCAAGTGGGATAAACGTTTAGGTCAGATATTTTGCTATTCCCATTCTAAGTTAGATTAGATCTTTATTTTATATTCAGATTTATAGTACTGTACTGACTATTTATATACTATACTGAAAAGCTAACATTGTACTACCTTTTAAAGCAATTCCCAAATTCTTTGAATGAATAATTATTTCTCTTCCACCCTTTCTGAGAACAGGACTCCAGTACAATGCTGCATGACATGAAATGCAAAATTCTGGTTTTATTTCTTTTGCATAGATTTCTCTAAAGGAGAATAAACATAGCTCAATAAAAACACAGAAACTGAAGAAAGCTTATATCCATATAGAAAACATCAAATGAGCAGACTTTTCTAAAATATTTGTTTTGTTGCCATAGAAAATCCATTATTATTAGGGATTATTATTATATGAACCTCATACTAACCTTTTTGAGTACAATTATTAAATGAAACTTTAAAAGGGTATATATACAGTTACTGCCAAACTTATTCTGTACATGTTCTGTAAAAGCAGTCACAGCACAGCTGCCTTTTAGTTTTTCATTTATATACAGTATGTATAGCTGTTGTAAGATAGAACACATAGTTTTGTTCCAGCATAGTTGTATTTGCTAAAACTTTCCGCATTGAACTTTTATTTTATTTATTTGTTTGAAGAAGTATTGGCATACCATAAACATATGGTGACTGTTTTGTATAGTCTTAATTCATCAAGTCCATGTATGCTGTAAGTGTGCTAGTCTTTAGGGATAAGAAAAAAATAAAGAACTGACAAGCATGCTGAGATGACTGTTTTTTTTTAAAAAACAACAACAACAACAATATGCTCACAGATATAATCCCTACATTTGTTTGTACTTTTTAAAGTTTTCATACCAATAAATTCTCATGGTAGCGCTGATATATTTTAGAAAAAAAAGTCAAATTTATTCTAGCATAAACATGTATAGTCTCTGAAAGATTATCTTTCTCTACATCTTGGAAGATGTTTCATTATTTCATTATATATAAAAATATATTTATGTTTTGATATTTTCTAAAAACGTATTACCATGTAATAGTACTTCTATGCCCTTATCAATAAGCAAGAAAGGCTGCATTTTTTTTACAGTTTAGTTCAAATCACTGGATACTTTACAATGAAAATAAATTGATGAATTTGTTTGTGTTATTTACATAAACTGGTAGTTTCCAATAAAAATAAATCAAAATAAAATCAAATATTAATGAATCATGAATCCAGTAGTAGAAAATGAGACCAACAGAAAGCTAATGGCAATCTTCAAAACATATAAATATCACTAATATTCCAGTATTCCATTGCAGATATTAGAAATAGACTTCAGGTGCAAGAATTAGACTCTGTAGAATCAAAGAACTGGTTCTAAGCCAGGGAGAGCCAATATGATATATGGTCAAGCTTGGACTAGGGCAAAACCAGATTCTCATCCATCCACAGCCATGGAAACCCATTGACGTTGGGCTAATTATTATTTCTTAACTGAATCTACTTCCTAAGGTGGTTGTGACAACAAAGGAAAAAAGTTTACCATGTTAAGGGCTACTGACTTTCTAAAAAAATAATGAAAGAAGACAACTTAATAACAAGTTTTGAACGTGGTTTTTGAAAACACCCTCGTTCCCTCTTATTATGTTCCACCTAACTTCATGCGTAGTGATAAGTTGTGTTGAGGGACTTTCAGCATGCTTTATAGTACCATTTATAGTACTGCTTGATGCCTTGCTATTCAAGGAGAGCCAAAGATAGGCAAAAATCACAACCACACCTGTTCTTCCACTTACAATGTTTTATTATTTACTTACGTACAGCTATCAATAGTTTAGGGAACAAAGAGATAATTCTTTCTCGAGCTCACAATCTAATCTTCAATTCAGGGAACTTCAATATAAGGAAAACTATATGACTATGAACAAAGAAATCATTAATCTCCATACTTTTATTAATTTGCTCACTTCCACGGATAGCATGATACATTCAACGAAGTAATTGGGAGAAAGTGCTTTTTTCCCTAGGGTTATCCCGATTTTAAAAGTTTTAAACTAAGCCTAGCTGCAAAGATACCCACTTACTTTGATATTATAGAGGTTAATCCCTTTAATCTTACCTATTACAAAATGTAAGTCTAATGCAGTCTGTATTTTAGTTGTGAAAATGAGAACGATGAAAATGTGTTTTCAATGACTTTTCAGTGGTGGTTTTATTGCATTTCAGTGAAATATAAAGCTGGGAAATTCAATTCTATTATCTCTCACATAATTTTGGCTCTAAGAATATTGATTTAAATTGCTCATTTTCCAGTTTCTTTTATTCAACACTTTATTAATATTCTAACAATACACTGGGTAACTATTAACAAGATCTGATCAAATTCCACAGCGTTGAAAAGTAGCAAGCATTCAGACTGAGAGAATCTGAGAGCTCAGCAGGTAAGGATAAAAATATTTTTCACAAATGAAAACGAATATATATGTCCCAGGATAATGCTGCAGGATCCAATCTGGGTCAGTCACCGGGACCAGAGGTTTAGTCTTCTGAGTTTTTGGACTCATGCTGGAGCCCATCCTTACGAAAGCTTGGAAGAATAAACCTCTGGTCCTGGTGCAAAAATATTTTTTTATAAGGAAAAAGTAGTTTTTATAAAGAAAAGGATCTCAGTGAGATAGAGGACGGGAATATATTACAGTATGGTTAGCATGCAATTTAAAATCACTGTACACTGGATTACTGTACAACTTTTTTTTTAAAATCTGCTAATGTAGTTGCAAAGGATGAATTAGATTCCTGATTAGTAGCTCTTTGTTTATTTAAAATAAAGCCATTTTAAAATCCTCTTTACCTAGGAGTACTTTCAGAGCCACCTACATGTACAAGCTACAATTTATTCACATTGGATTTATATGATTACCCATCTCACCATAGTGATTCTCAGCAGCTAGCAAGATTTAAAATCAAAACAAAAATAACATAAATCAAACTACAAGCAATGGCAATTGAGGTAAAGCCAATTTGCCACAAATTGATAACTACGTGGATTCTAACTAGCAGTTCAACCTCTATGCATGTGTTCAAAGTATTATGAAATGCCAGCAGGATTGAGGTCCAGAATCAAGGCCAATCTAATTCGGGGGGGGGGGGGGAAGAGTGTTCAAAGAAGAACGTGATACAGCAAAATTTGTAATTGCAACAATTTATGAAAAGAAACGGATAGTGTTTATAATGACCAGCTACGAGTGAAGCTTTCACAGAATGTTGATTATAACAAAGAGAAACTCTGTTGTCCTTGTATGTTGTTAAATCACAAACTCCAGCACTTTTATCATTAGCTGCTGGCTAAAGCTATTGACACTTGAAGTTCAACACACATAGCCTCTAAAGCACAGGTCAGCAACCTGCGGCTCCGAAGCCGCATGCGGCTCTTTGAGCCTTCCCCTGTGGCTCCCAGCCTCCTCTGCCTTTGCAGAGAGAGACAGAGACAGAGAGAGGCAATTGCGCTTCCCTGCTTCTCTCTCTCTCTCTTTCTCTCTCTCTTTCTCTCTCTCTCTCTCTCTCTCTCTCTCTCTCTCTGTGTGTGTGTGTGTGTGTGTGTGTAAAAGAGAGTGCACTCACAGTGTTCTCTGAGGAGCTGAAAAGCTTACTGGGCAGAGCTCCTCCCTTTGCTGCGTCTCTGCAGGAAGCAGGAAGGGCAGGAGAGAGCTAGCTAGCCCAGCTAGGCTGACTCAGGAATTCTGGGAGTTGAAGTCCATGAGTCATAAAAGAAAGAGGTTGCCTACTCCTGAGCTTGTTGGAGAACAGCTTGAAGCCAGCTTGCCAGGTGAGCATCAGATAGGAGAGGGGGGAGAGAAAGAGAGAGAGAGGGGGAGGGAGAGAGAGAGAAAGAAAGTAGGGGAAGAGGGGTGGCAGACCAAGGGCAGATAGGGAGGGAGAGAGAGAGAGACAGACCCTTTTGACATCTAAAATGAAGATAACACTGCATATATCCTTTTTTTACCTCTGTGTGTGTGTATGAGTGTGTGTGTGTGTGTGTATATACACACATACATACATATATATATATGTAGGTCTTTGGTTATTTGGGTTTTGTCCCACGTAAAATTGGAAGTGTCTTGGCGACGTTTCGACGAAGTCTCATTCGTCATCTTCAGGCTGGTGCTTTCGGCTTCGTGCTTCTCGGAGCAATGTGTGACTGTATCTGTTTCCTCCTTTTTGTGGTCGTGCCTCATCAGAAGCCAGACCACAGCTGCATCATTAGCCACTTTAAACCCCTCCAATCCATACATGAAGCAAACTGACACCCACCATGAAGATGAGGCACGACCACGAACGCAAAGCCAAAAAATAGCAATGCAGTTCACCATTTTAAACCCCCCTGCAATTCATACTAACCTGAGCACAACAAAGCCCCCACCCAAACAGAACACTCTCCCAGCCAATCAGAGCACACCCAACCCCCCAGCCAATCAGAGCACAGCTAACCCCCCAGCCAATCAGAGCACAGCCAAGCTCTTAACCAATCAGAACACACCTCCATCCAATCAGAACACAGTCAAGCTCTCATCCAATCAGTTCATACCCCCACTGGCAGTTAAAAGGAGGAAACAGCTACAATCACACATTGCTCCTAGAAGCACGAAGCCGAAAGCACCAGCCTGAAGATGACGAATGAGACTTCGTCGAAATGTCGCCAAGACACTTCGAATTTTACGTGGGAGAAAACCCGAATAACCAAAGACCTACATACAAACACCCGCGAAAACCTCAGAAAACACACACACACACATACATACACACACACAAACACACATACACACAAACACCTATAATAAAGGTAAAAAGGGATATATGCAGTTTATCTTCATTTTAGATATCAAAAGGGTTTTGCGGCTCCCGTATTTTGTTTTTGGTGGGAAACGGGTCCAAGTGGCTCTTTGAGTGTTTTGGGTTGCCTACCCCTGCTCTAAAGTAATGCACCCTGGAATTGCTGGCTGCCCTTGTAAAGTTGCTCTTTAGCCTTTTTGGATGTTGCTGGATGGGGGGGGGGTTGGCTTAACATTCCCACCGCAGTGTGTGGAACTCACAGACAGGAGAAACAGACAACACAAATGCACAAAGTCAATGTTCTAATGCTTTTTCTTCACAATGGTTTGATCATGCCTGCTAGTTCAGAACTTCTAAAAATAATCATAAGGATCCATTAATATTTCTAGCCGTTTCTTACCCTGCTATTGACCTCTTCCATATCTCTGCTCAGTCGATTTATATTCTTTCATTTTGGAGCAAGAAATGGGGGGGGGAAAGGATTAGGATGATAAAATAGCCCTGAAGACATTTGGTATTTGTTTGTTTGTTTGTTTGTTTGTTTTGAATCTGCACCTAACATGAAAGTGTCAGCAAATCTCTATTTAGGATGAACTTTTACTGTTAGATTGACTTCTGAAAAAGTAGCTTTGATTTCTATTATGGTGGGATCCAGGTTCTTTGATAGAGTGCCTGGTAAAACTTAACTGCATGGAAGGCTAAAAAGCACCACCCTAAGAATTGGTAAGAAAAGCTTTGTTAAACTAATGCTTATCATATGAAGGAACATTCTTCCTGAAGTTTTCTTTAACTTGTAATTAACTTAGATATTAGAAGTGATCTGCATATAAAATATAACATCAAAACAGTAACAGTTATTTACAAAGCTTACATGTATATATAATTACTTAACATACAAAGACACTCTGACATACAATTTTACTACTTTCTTTATTCTTTCTGGGTGTTGATCACTTGATGAGACTTGTACAGTATTCCTGGATTCTGAGATGAGTGTCTCCTTTTCTAGACATTGTAAGAGGGCCAGGTTAATTTATTGTAGCCAATATCGGAAAGAATCCAATAGCAATTTTTCTAACTAACAGTGTCAAAGATATATACTTTTATGAGGTGTAGCTTACTCCAGATGCATGGAATTGTTACATTGGAATAAAATTTAAAAACAGAAGTAGAACTGAGGGAAGAAAGGGTGGTTATGTTACATGTGAAACAATTAGCCATTGTAGTGTTAAAAGTTCTTTTAAACCCTCCCAAGTGTACAGTACCTTTTGCTGAACTCTGCATCACAACTGAATTTGTTCTGCAACAGACATGCTTAACTCACAGAATTAAGCCAGGCATTCGGGAGTCTGAACTACTCATTCAACCAATAGACAAAAGAGCCAGATCAATTCCTAGAACCTGACTACAGAAACAGAATTTCACTGGTTGTCACCTACAGCTCTTGCCACTCAAGTTACAACCATAATGACAACAACAACAACAATAATAATAAAATCGAAAAGGACCTTGGAGGTCATCTAGTCCAACCCCCTGCTCAGGCAGGAAACCCTATACCATTTCGGACAAATGGCTGTCCAGTTTCTTCTTAAAAATCTCCAGTGTTGGAGCATTCACTGCTTCTGGAGACAGGTTGTTCCACTGGTTAATTGTTCTAACTGTCAGGAAGTTTCTCCTTAGTTCTAGGTTGCTTCTCTCTTTGGTTAGTTTCCACCTGTTGCTTCTTGTCCTGCCTTCAGGTGCTTTGGAAAATAGCTTGACTCCCTCTTCTTTGTGGCAGTCCCTGAGATATTGGAACACTGCTATCATGTCTCCCCTAGTCCTTCTCTTCATTAAACTAGACATACCCAATTACAAGGACAGTGCCTTTTCTTAAATCCGGATGGCATTCTTCCACACAAATTGCCATATTTGCATACAATCATCTTGAAACAGATTCACACAAGTGATAAGAACAATGAGGTTAACATGAAAACCAGATCCTTCAACAAACCCAGATAGCTACTTTGCCCCCTGTATTTATACTAACGGCTACATCTCAGGTCCCCTCAATTTCTCACACAAAATTAGAGTAAGTTCCCATCTCATGCTCCTCTTCCAATGCTGTTATCTGCCAGCATCGTTCCTCTGCATCTACTCTGGAGAAAGTAAAATGTTTTGCAAAAGAATTAACAGGCAGAAGTTTGACATCTGTTCTCAGCACAATGCAAAGAACAGCAGAGCCAGGACACATAGATTTCAAAGTTGTCATTTTACAATAAAATGATGTCAGGATCAGAGAGTGAGTCCACCAAATTGACATCTCTAAAGTTTTCAAGCTATCTTAGAAGACCCCGACAAATAGGTGTTTGACACATTACAATTGTTAATTGACGAAGTTCTCCAAATCTGTCTCACACCTAACATGCAGTTACATATCCATCCTTTTCAAGTTCTACACCATCAGACCCTGGCGTCTGATGAAGTGAGCTACACCTCATGAAAGCTTCTGCGTCTGATGAAGTGAGCTACACCTCATGAAAGCTTCTGCCCCTTAATATATATATATATATATATATATATATATATATATATATATATATGTTTTCTGAGGTTTTCGCGGGTGTTTGTA